TAGTATAATATACTATAATGTAGTAGATTATCACATACTGTAGACCTTATACTAAAGCCCCAATATAGGAACCTGAGACCTGAGCTGATGTTTACGCAGCCCATAAGGAGTCTCGTAGTCCTCGTCTGTCTAGGGTCCCTTAAGGTGTGTTTAGGGTTTAGGGGTTTAGGGTTGAAGGCTTTAAGATTTAGGGGTTTAGGGTTTAGGGTCTGGGGCTTCCCATTTTGAAGCATTCCCGTCTGATCTGCCGAATGAAGTACTGGATAGATGAAATTGGTGGTTCCACCGCATATTCTAAGGCTAAACATAAAACACCTACAAAATGCGACTCCGCGATTCAGAGAAACTTTCACGGTATCTGAGTTATACGGAGCTCCTAACAAGAGCGTGTTATGTCCCTTGTCAGACCGATGGTGATACCACCATGGACTATTAGACCTGAAGGGTACCTTAATCTACCCTTAATAGGGTCCTAATAGGGAATTTTAGGGTCTCATGGCCAAAAGCTATAGTGCATTGGAGCTCATCGCGGCAGGGGATTTGCCATTTTTGGTGCGTTTGGAATACAGATTTGGGTAGTTTCCCAAAACCAGGGGACCCCAATATAGACCCCAGTATACTACAATCCTTGTCATGTGAACCCCTAATTATGGGAAACTCCGATTTTTTCTGGCAGAGATCATGCGGGTGTGCCTGAATACAAACCCTGAACCATAAACCCGGAACCCTAAACCCTAAATTGCTGGATGGCATTGCCACATGTTGCGGTGTCTCACGCTCGGGGGACCCTGAGGGCCTTTAGGGGGCTTCCTAGGATTATGAGTACCATCTTAGGGGTGTCTATAATAAGGATATAATATATTGGGGTCTATATTGTGATGCCTTATTTAGGGAAACTACCTTATTTTGGGAGGTCTCTATTCTATGGGGACACTACGGGCAAGCCGTATATTATTCATAGATAATACAAATGGCTGGAGTCCACCTTGAGTCCTACAAACAAGAAGGGACGCTGTGGTGGCACCAGCGTTGCGTACATGGTAAGTTCTATAACTCTATAACATCCTGCCATTCGGTAAAAACAAAAACAACATTCCTTGCACAAAGCTGGGGCACACGGGATATGAAGAACGCTCTATGAGCGTACGTAGATGTACAGGGCCTCCTCAAAAGGAACTCGTCCGCGTGCTATGATGATGTCAACGATGATGATAGTGCATCCTTCTAGATCAAAGTACGTGTGAGTACCCATGGTCCTGAAAAAGGGCTATGCGCTGCTCGCCGACGTCTGTTTTAAACAGAAATCTAGAGCCCACAGCATTCTTGCACATTCTCGTTTTGCTGGAGTTGAACACTACAATAAGCTTTGTCCTGTATGTCCCAGGAAACCACCAATGTCAGAACCCTTCCGATGACTGCCTTTGAGGCAGTCGACCGGCTCGGTTGAAAGCCCCATCAACGTTGTGCATTTGGCCTCTATTAACTCGCAGCCACCGCCTGGAGTGCGGCTTCTTGGATGTCGGGTCTAGGACTTTCGTGAAGTGCTTTAAGTGTACTACCCCAAGAATGGAGAATCAAATGGAAGCGGTTGACAATGAAAGGGAAAGGGCCATACATGGGTATATGTGGGTTAGTGAAACTGCCCCAGCAATGTAATGAAGGCCCGGAGATCTTTTCTGTGCACATACGCGGTACAGTACTTGCGCCAGGGGATCCAGGGATTTGCACGGAATGCGTTGAAATCTTCATCTGGGACCCTCAACCCTAAACTTTAACAAGTACGGCTGTTCCAGGTGGGGTTGGAGACTTGAGAACTTGGGGGTTCAGGGCCGAGGGTGTAGATGGGCTTAGGGTTAAGGGTTTAGGGATCAGGGGGGCTGATAGATGAATGGAAGAGTAAATTGAAACTACCATCTTATGTATGCTTTAGGGTTGTGGGTCATGGTTGCGATAATTCGGCTTGTGTATAGCTACTACGTTTCCCTGAACCCCCCCAAGTTGCTGTTCAATGTGGGTTTACTGGCATTGACTGGGATCCCACATGGGGATTTCGGGATTGCAGTCCCGATTTGGTAGGGAGTATCTTGAACTACAGCCACGTGTTCAGCATTTAGGCAGATTATCCACATTCCACTGTGGATGCGCTGGCCCAAGTTCTGGGGAGCACCTTGAGTGGACTTGAGTAAGATTGTAAACCAGGACTTTCCTTGTACCCTTAATTGGGGATATATGGTCCCTAATAGTAGCTACTTAGGCCCTAATAGAGGGTAGGAGGAGGGTCTAGGAATGCTGTGGGCCCTCACGCTCAAACATGAAAAAGCATGCAAGATTATTTTCCTTCGACCTCAAGCGCGAATCAGGTACTGGCAATCATCCTGGCAATAGCAGGCGTGGGCATCTACAACTTGAATGCCTCGGACGCGTCCTTGCTAGCAAATGCACGCCAGTCGGTCCTTTACCTCGCGCAAAGGCTCACCTGCGGTACGCTAGTTGGTCCTAGAAAAATTGTATGTCAACAGCTGCAAGGGTTCATAGAGCTATAGTCCCCCTTAAGTAGATAGAATATGGCTTTGGGTATATTATAATAAGATCCCCATATACCCCATATTCTATCTACTTCAGGGGGACTATAAACCTTTAGAAGAATTATGCCAAGCGGGATCGTTGCAGCTGCTTAAGTATTAGTTGATAGCTCCATTGACATACAGTTGTTATACTGCCATCTCACGCAATCGAAATGGTAATCACAAGGCCCAGTATATAGTCCCCCTTAAATATGTGGTGTATTGGGATCTCATTATATTATACCCAAAGCAATATGCTATCTACTTGAGGGGGGCCATAACACTATCCCAGACCCATGGAAGCTTCTAGAACTTAGGGCACCTATTTTCGTGTGACACACCATACATGCAGAATTCATTAAGGTCCTTAACTTACTGGTTCTTTGTAGGGAATAAGGGAATAGAATCCCTATATAAGCCCTATATAATGCATCCCCTTACCAGTAAGTTCATGGGGTCTACCCATTGGATCCTTTCCCCTGAGTTTGTCTACGGCCGGTTACTAGAGAATGGGCGACTGGATCCTTACAGTAGTCTTTGGGTAGCCCCTGGTTGCAATTCATTCCATGATTCCCCAGGAACCGCCAGTAAGCTTGGGTAGCGCCATGTCTCCTATCCCCCTTGGTATTATTCTAGTTTATATCGCGGTATAACCCCAAAGGAACTATTAAACAATACCTAAACAATACCGAAACCCTAAACCCCTAAACTCTAAACCCTAGAGGGATCACAGATGTTTGGAGAGGCATGCTGCTGACATCACCCGGCAGCTCCGCCCCTCCACGTGTTCAAGTTCTCAGGATTTCGGGACTAGGGTTTAGGGTTTAGACTAAGGTATATGGACTAGGGTTTAGGGTTTGGACTAACGTTTATGGATTAGGGTTAGGGTGTAATTGCTGAAGGTTTACGGGGGGGGGTCCTTAAAGGGGTAGGGTTTAGCAATTGCGCTAGGGGGCTATAGCGTTCAGATATTTCTTAGAATCCTGTCGATAGCAGCTCAGGATTGCGATGAAGTGCCTTATCATAGGATCCTGTACACCCCTTCTACAAGACTAAACTACTTGTAGCCTGAGAATCGTCGCGTTTAGACCTTGGATCCTAGCACCTCAAACACCTACGGCTCAGACTTCTACACTTCAGTGGGCCTTTCAATTTGCAAACACAGTTCCCTCCCTGTTTTTTTGAGCTGTCAACACACGCACACAACTACTAATGTTAGCCCTCGCAAAAACGCATACGAATCTGTATTTGACCCCGATACATCCCCTAAACCCAACTCCTAAACCCAGTGGCTCCCAGGCACCCTAAACCCTAAACCCTAACTCCCCTAAACCCTACACCCTAACTCCCCTAAACCCTAAACCCATTGACTCCCAGGTCTGTCTGTCAGCTCTTTGCAGGCTCTTGGAGCCGTTATCCAGATGGATCGATGTGGTTCTGGAGTTGAGGATATACATCCTATTCTTTGGCTGTAGGATCTTAGGGTTTCTATTATTTGGGTATTGGGTTTAGGGTTTACAATTTAGCCTATTTGTGGTATATTGTTTGTGATCAGCAGCCTAGTATTTGGGGTTTGGGTTTAGGTTTTAGCCTATTGTGGTATGTTGTTAGTATATCCTTGGTTATACTCTTGGGATAGTACATCATTAGTATATTATTAACCCTACACCCTGACCGTTATCGCTGCTGCTTTGCAGGTTTTTGCTGCTTCTTTTGCTGCTTCTGCCTCTGCTGCTTCTGCTTCTGCTGCTGCTGCTGCTGCTGCTGCTCTTCGAGTTTGGCATGTGAACCGCTATTCTTGCTACCATGAAGAGTCGTACTCATTTGGCAGCTTCTATAAATCAGGTGACCCCAATATAGACCCCAAAATACTTTCATCCTTCTGATGGGACACCGACAATGGTACACCCAAATTTGGGTAAACCCTAAGCCCTATAGAACTCTTATAACTCCCATAAAACCCTATATAAGCCCTACACACCTCTTTTAAAGGTACGCTTTAGTGACCAGGACTTTGACGTGCTGGCAGATGTCCTGCTTGAAGCTCACAGGGGCATCTCTAATCTGCAGCTGGCGCCGTTTGGAACTCTCCGCCACATATATCCGTTGGTGGATGCCAACCAGGACAATCGGGGGAATAGTACAGTATTGTAGGCTTAGTAATTAAGGGGGATACTAGGAGTCTCCACTATAGGTCATATATTATATATATATATATTAATATATCCCTTGGTGGATGCCAACCTACCAGGACAACCGGGGTGCTTTGGGACTTGCTACGCTGCTGGAACCTGCACGCAAGGAACTTGCACTTGCTTCGATCAAGGCCCAGACAATCCAGGTCAGTGGGCCGCTGCGGCTAGTGCAAGGTGGTGTAGCTGCAATTGTACAGAAGCCCATCTTTTCCCACTATTCTCCCAAGTATCTTCCCGATGAATGGTATGTGGACAGCAACGGTGTGAACCACACCAGAGTCTGCTCCATCCCGGAGCTGCGGAACGACGAGGAGTGTTCTTTTCCTGGGCCCTTGGATCCGAAACTCAACGTACCTACTTACTTCTGGGGGTTCGCGGCCCTGCTGATGCGCATGGAAGATGTCCTTGCAACGACGCAACTGTCATCACTGGAGACCGGCGAACAGGGAGGCGTGGCCGGCATTTCTCACTTTGCTTACGAGCTCTTGGATCAGAAACTTACGACATGTTTTGGCTAAATCGCTGGCGTTGCCTTCTAACGTGGTCTTACATGAGCAATGATCCTTTTATGTTCCGCACAACCCTGATGGGAGAGCCATTCTTTCACTTCCCGCTTACACCTGGGACCTAAGGTCCCCAAAGGCTTTGAGACAAATAACCATTGTATAACCCCTATAGAACCCCATTATAGTAGTTTCCATGTTCTTTTCCATTTTCCTATATAACCCATTATAGTATCACAAGATTAGTAAGTATAGGGTTTGGGGTTACCACCTGCTTTGTGCTAAGACCTCCCCTAAGGCTTTCAGACCCAAGTCCGCACCCGTCCTTAGTGGACGTTGGTGGTGTGTGGCAGCGTTCCTCTAGAACTGAGTCTCTCAGCGATGCGGTGCAAGTAGATGCTGGGCTGTGTTTTTGAGATATGGGGTTTCCCAAAATTAGGGGTATCCTTTTGGGAGTCCCAACTAATCCTCATTATAGTGTTTTGGGGTCTATATTGGTCGCCTTATTTTCGGAAACTACCATGTTTTTTGCATCAGGGTGATAGGAGAGGATTCTGCGAGGTTACGCGAGGGGTGCACGCCGGTTGCATTCCGAATACGTAGTGTTTAGATTTGTTGGCCAAGCCCTCATGCTGATGTTCCCTATTGTTTGAAACGGGATGTGACTTATACCTCATCTACGGCCAGCCAGATTTTAGGCCTGGGAGCCGCAAAAAGAAGCTCTAAACCATTATTCTCTGATGCGTTAAGCCTTCCGTACCTTGAAGTTGGACCCCTATCCCTAAACCCTAAACCCATATGCTCGAGACATCGGCCCGTAGACCGTTTCCCCTCAACCCCAAGCCTTCGAGGCCCTAACTCTATAGTCCCCCTTAAGTAGACAGAGTATGGCTTTGGGTATTTTAGAATAAGATCCCCATATACCCCATATTCTATCTACTTAAGGAGGACTATACACTCAGGATGTTGCTGTGGAAGAATATGGTTTTCGCTGGATCTTGAAGGTGGCCCCCTTGGATGGCTGGCCCGCGGTCTCGCAGGCCTTCGAAACTTCAAAGTTTAAGCACCGGTAAATCCTGTCAAGGAACTGAAGTTCAGTTACTTAATACAAGGGTTATATAGGGATAATGGAAAATGAGATGGAAACTACTATTTAGGGTTTAGGGTTTGAGGTTGCTGTTGAGGAACCCAAGATAGATCACTAGAATAAGGCCACCTAGGTTATTTACCATACACCTATAACATGGTGACTGAGTTTAAGCTTCTTAACAGCAACCCAGTACTTGGGTGTCCGTGCAGGGAGGGGCTGCTTGCCACTCTGGTTCTAGGTTCTATATAGGGGTTATCGGGATTATATTGGAGTTATGTGGGGATAATGGAAAAGACAACGGGAACTACTTTTCAAAGTTTAGGCATTTGGGGTTCAGAAGGTTAGGAGTTAAGGTCATGGTGCCTAAACTGTCTGCCCTGACTGGAGGACTTCTGGAGGCAGTTGCTGCTGGTGCTGCCTTTGACGGCGCTACTGGGTGTTTTCCTAGGCGTTTACATCATCTTCGCGTTGCGACGTGAGGCCCTGAAGCTCTGAGAAGTTGAATGAGGTATTCCGTACTCCTCTATTTATGTTCTGAGTAAGGAGGACCCTACAGAATGACCTGAACCCTGAACCCTATAAACTTTGCCCTAAACTCTAAACTTTGCCCTAAACCCTAAACCCTAAACTTTGCCCTAAACCCTAAACTTTGCCTAAAACCTTAAACCCTAAACTTTGCCCTAAACCCTAAACCCTACAGAATGACCTGGGACACCAGCCGAACCTGAGCCGTGCTGCAAGGCCATGAAGCTACAGGGCTTCGCCAAGTATCTGAAGTCCGAGAAGGTTACCGGAGCGCACGGTTTAGGGTTTAAGGTTTAGGGTTTAAGGTTTGGGATTTTGGGTTTAGGGTTTAGGGTTTAGGACTTAGGGCTTGGTTTAGGGTTTAAGGTTTGGGATTTGGGGTTTAGGTTAGGGTTTAGGGCTTAGGGCCTTGGAACCGGTTTCTGCGTCATTGTCGCATGACCTGCTTAGTTCATATGAGCTGTAGTGAAAACTCCTTAAAGGGGATTGTAGAGTGGACTAATTACTATATGGCTTATCAAGGAGATACTAGGAGTTTGGACTATGGCTCATATTCGGATTTCTAGAAAAAAAGAAAGTGCCCTAGAGACCTCAGCGCACATAGGGATTGTAAGGGTGGAAGTGGGTGTTCTCATCAAGGGTGATATAAGGGCCATTTGAGGGAACCTTGTGAGAAATTCGTCTGTTGTGCTTGAGCCCAAGTCAAGCATAAACACCGCTGCTGTTCTTAGATCGACTATTTTTTACATCATATTAGTAGACCGAAACAAGAACAACGTCTGACCTGCTGAAACGGTGTTCGCTGTTCCCGAATTAATTAGATGTAAGGGAACGTTCAGGTGACTGCCATCCACACCGCTGTGACCAACCTAAACACTTTCCAGTTCCCGATGAAGCTTGGATTCAATGCTCAGGTTTTTGTGGGGGTTTCCCAAAAGTAGGGGTACCATTTTGGGGGTCCCTATAATAAGGACTATAGTATTTTAGGGTCTATCTTTGGGTCCCCTTAATTTGGGAAACTACCATGTTGATATTTAAATGACATCCCTCATGTACCATCAAAGTAGGAGCATGCTGACACTAGAGAGCCCAAGCAAGGACTCACACCTTCGGAAAAGTCCGGGATTGCCCACAGTCTTAGTTTCGAAGTCTTTTTGCCATGCTTGAAAACTATTTTTAAAAGCACGGAAAATTGGCCTTCAACTCCATCGCAAGGACCCCAAGCACACTGTCCCCCTTGAATGATTTGGGAACAAGCCCCCAAAAAGAGGATTCCACTCTGAACCCCAACAGTAACAACAATAATAATAGCAACAATAATAGGAATAGCAATATGTAATACTAGTCATGACAATAATAGCAATAGTACTTGTAATAGTAAAAATAAGACCTTGGGTCATGCCCTCTTGCAGCATCCAGGACAGTTCCCGCAGTCAAACTCCTGTAAGGAATCCCTTATACAACCCATATAGTACATACTCGGATTTATAGACCAATGGAAAACCCTGACATGAACTGATAAAACTATGACCCCCCATATACCGCGTCTAGAGGCCGTACATGCTGTCAGTGGAGGAAATCTTGCCACATCTGGGGGGCTCTCAGACTACTGTAATCCACGTTATTCGCAGAACATAAGGTGGTGCAAGATTTCCTGCATCCACCATAGCTTAGCTTCTAGTGGCAGCAAGGTTCTTGTATATAAGCCAAAATATGGAAGTTTCCCTAAATAGGGACCGCTATATAGACCCCAAAATACTCTAATCCTTATCATATTGACTCCCCAAAAAGGTATCCCTAATTTTGGGAAACTCCCACATAACGCTAAAAACCCAAAACCCAAAACCAGCAAGGTGCCTTGTTGAGCTGAAGGACTTCCTGTCTATGGGCCAGCTCGCTTCTTTCTGAACAAATGGGTACGTAATGGAAAAGAAAATGGAAACTACCGTATATCATGGCTCAGGGTGTAAGGGCTCTGGGTTTAGGGTAATTCGCAAAATTAGTGTCCCATTTTGTTACCCCTAAATATTAGGTGCCATAATATAATCTATGACTGAAGGGGGTCCATAATCTTGAGAACAGCCCAAATACTGGCTGGAGGATAGACATATCTGAAGTCTCCTCAGGAAGAATTTGTAATACTGTTATAATATAACCCAAAGGAATAATTAAAACTACTAATAGGAGTAGAAATGCCAACAGTAGTTATAGTCAAAAAATCCGAGTACGTAATAGCACCGGTAAGAAGATTAATAGGAATAGTAATAATTGTTAGTGGGGTCAGAGGGGCAGCCGGCATCGCTTTTGTCCTTCACGGTGGTTATAGGGATGTATGGGGGGTTAGGGTGTAGGGTTGGAACAATGCAAACTCGAATGATAAAGCCAAATGGAGCAGGCAATCAGAGACTGTGGCTCATAATAGGGGACATAGGGTTCAGCGTCTAGGGTTTAGGCTTTACTTGCTGGTTTGAAGACGTTGGACAGAAGATGGGGTTTACTCTTGAGGGGTTAAAGTCCGAAGATCAGAAAAGGGCATGCAAACTATTCTAGGTTCTCGGAGTTGGAGCGGCTACAGTTGTTCATCTGTACCCGTGCTGACATCAAATAATGAATGCATGCGTGGACTAAGAGGCCTTTAGACTTAAGAATCAAACATGCTTGCAATGGAATTCTTTCAGTAACAAATTTGCCTGCCAATAACAACATGCCTTCCAGTGCTCCTATCGAGTAATCCCTCTGTCACTCGAAACATTCAACCCGCCCAAAATCTACAGACTTAGCTCCAGGCAAGGTTCGCGTGTACTGCCGCACAAAAACCCCAGCAGTCAGGGGGACTTGTGATAAATATAGTTACAACCCTTATAGGCCATACGGTAAACCAAGATATTCACGTCATAATGGGGTAGCATACGTTTTGATCTTACCATTTGGGGGCTTTGTTTCCTTGTAGGGCTCCTCATAATGGAGATTTCGGGTACATTGGGGGTCTTTGGGGGGTTGGCCGTTTATGGAAAGTATACTCTAAGCACAAAGCCCATGCTAACTTTGCGCATTCCCTAGGCAAATAGGTGTCATACCTATCAAATCCTGAAAGGTCTCACAATAAGACCTCGGCTGGATCTAAACCCTAAACCCTAAACCCTCTGCATCTAACGGCCCAGGTTTGCCACGAAGCTGCACGAGCTACTGGACAACTTAGATGCTTTGACCGCCCGGCAGCTGGGATGCAGTAAACCCTAATCCCTTTAGGGTTTAGGGTTTAGGGGTCCTAAACCCTAAACCCATGAGATGTAGTTTGGGGGGTTGAGGGTTCGGTTTCCCAGAACCATGGGTCGCTTGAAATGGTTCTATGGAGGTTATATAAGGATTGCGGTTGTATAGGGGTTATATTGGGACAATTGAAAAAATGGAAAGTTCTATTTAGGGTTCAGGGTTTCCCACCCTAAGGGTCATGGTGTCATGGG